GTCCTGTGTTCTTCTCTCTCCCGAGCACACACATAGCTCTTGGCCTCTGCACAGAGGCCGATTTACCTTTGGGACAAAGAGCAAATGGGGAACACCGAGTTACTAGGTTCTCCGCCATCAGTGCATGGCCTGCCTCACATCCAGCTGACAACCGTCATTTATTTAGCACCTGCCGTGTACTCAGCACTGCCCTAACACTTTTTAGAGAGGTTTTAGATTTACAGAAAAATTGAGCAGAATGCTCAGAATGCTCTCCCTCCTTCCCTCCCTCCCACATCCAGTTTCATCTGTTAGGACCATCTTGAGTCTTGTGACCTATTTGTTACAGCTGATGAACCAATACTGATCCATCAGTATTAACTGAAGTCCACAGTTTGTAGAGTTCAGTCTTTGCGCTGGACAGTTCTTTGGTATTTACAGAGGTATGGTGACGTGCACCCACCGTTACGGTGTCATACAGAATAGTCTCACTGCTCTGAAAACTCCCTGTGCTCGCTCTATTCCTCCCTCCCCTCAAGTCCCCGGCAACCTCTGGTCTCTCTACAGTCTCCATAGTTTTGCCTTTTCCGGAATGCCATGCAGTCAGGTTTACACACTGTGAAGTCTTTCACCCTGGCATTGTTCACTTAGCTGTGTGCATTCAACGTGCCTCCATGTCTTCTCATGGCCTGATGCCTCGTTTCTTTATATCATTGAGTAATATTCCATTGTGTGGATGTCCCACCATTTGTGTATTCATTCTCCTGTTGAAGGACATCTGGGTTTCGGCAATTGTGGATGAAGCTGCTGTGTGTAAATATCCATGCACAGGTTTTTGTGTGGACGTAAGTCTTCAGCTTCTTTGGGTAAACACCAGAAATAGCAATTGCTGGATCGTCTAAGCGTCTGTTTAGTTGGGGAGGAAACCGTCTTCCAAGGTGGCTGCACCACTTTGCTCTCCCACCAGCAGTGATTGAAAGTTCCAATTACTGCACATCCTCTCCGGTATTTGGTGCTATCAGTGTTCTGGGTTTGGGCCGTTTGAGGAGGCGTGTAGAGGTGTCTCGGTGTTTTACATTGCAATTCCCTAATGAAATATGATGTTGAACATCTTTTCATATGATCATTTCCCACCTGCATATCTTTTTTTTTGGTGAGATCTCTGTTCAGATCTTTTACCCACTTTTTCATTGAGTCATTTGTTTTCTTATCATTGAGTTTTAAGAGTATTTTTGTACATTGTGGATACAAGTCCTTTATCAGATGTCTTTTACAAGTATTTCCTCCCAGTGTGTGGCTCGTCTGTTCACGCTCTTACTGTAGTCTCAGTTCTCATGCGCGAAGTTCCTCATTTAACCCTCCCAGCGTTCTGTGAGCTACATAGTAATGGCCCCATGTTGCTAAGGAAATCAAGGCTAAGATAGATGAATTGACCTCCTAAATGATGGAGCTAAGATTCGAACCCAGAGCTGAGCCTTATCTCCATACCTCACGTCCCCAGGGTGTCTTACTTGCCACAAGTGAGATCAGGTAAGAATGAATCCTGGTCATCTCATGTGAAAATAGCCCCTCACCATCTCTACAGAAAGTAGAGTCCATGTGTGGACGGCCTGCAGACCCAGTGGTGGTTACTGCCATCAGAGTGCCTTCACGCGGCGCGGAGAACGCTCTGTAATCTGGCCCCCGCCCACCGCGTCTGCCTCTTCTCCCATTGCTAACCCCTTCACACTCCACATTCACAAGACAGGAAACTTCGCAGCTCCAAACATGCTTGCTTTCTCAGGATCTCTGCCTTCACCCTTGCGATTCCCTCTGATGGAAAGACCTTCCTTATTGTCCACTGGTCGAACGTACCATTACCCCCTCCTTCGTGTGTCATTCCACGAAGCCCTCCACCTCTACTTTTAGACCTTGAGGTTCCCTTTCTTTAGTAGAATAGCAGTGAGTTTCAGTGGTGCAGTTTCCTTGATCTCCCAAGCTCACTGGTCTTGGGCTGTCATTTAAGTTGGCTTTGGGTTCGCCTTTGGGTTTTGATTTTTGGTGGGTCTTTCTTTGGTGGTTCCTTCCCACCAGCTGGTTAAATGAGGGTCACTCTGTCCACCACCTCCTGTATTTTGTTGTGCTGGTGAGGGCAGGTTGTGTTGAAGCTGGTTCTTCCGTGTGTATAGAAGTTCCCTTTCTATGTGCTGTCTGTCTCTCCCCCACAACATTGACCAACTCCTTAAGCTTGAGTATCACCTTGGTGACACTTCCTTAGCCCCTTCAACAAGCCTGCACATCGTAGGTGCTCAGGAAATGGTTCTTAATAAATGAATGAAGAGGAGAGACTGGCGAACGCCATCATCTGGTGCTTAGAGGCTCCTTTCATCTTTAAGAATATTGAACTGAAAGAAAGGCTTGTTTCCTTTTGTTTGGTTTTTAATAATTTGTGCTTTCAGAGTTTAAATTCCATTGTATATTAAAGTAAATTACCTTTCAACATTTTGCACCAGAATCTCCATCCCCAGTGCTGTAGACCCCTGGAGCAGGCATAACTCAATAAACAAAGCAGCTTTTTGAATCAATAAGTCATTAGTGAAACCAATGAGTGAAAACACAATGTGCATTTTCACTTGTTTAACGCTTACAGTTTTTGTAACCTCTGGTGACAAGGCTTAATGGCCAGAGCGCAGAGTAAGAGGCTGGGCCTTATGTGAGCCCCTGCTGGGTGGAATGTCTTCCAGGAAGTCCACTCCCCGGGGCCAGGGTCCTGCAGGAGCTCCAGGAGCAGGACCCGTGAGATGCGAGAAGTCCAGGGCAGCCCACGTGTGAACGGAACAGGGGTCCAGAGTCAGACGGACTTGAAACAGAATCCAGCCCTGCTACTTGCAGGCTGTGTAACATGGGGAACTTGCTTAACCTCCCTGAGCCCCAGGTTCGCATCTGTGAAATGGGAAGAAGAAGAAGAAATCATTATCCCTGAGCCCCAGGTTCGCATCTGTGAAATGGGAAGAAGAAGAAGAAATCATTATGGCATTAATATAATAATCTATACAGTTATTTGGAGGAATAAATGATGGCATAAGATCACATATGTAAGCTTTCTGGTACTTTCCGTAAACTATAAAGATTAGCTTCAGACTCCCCACCCATCCAAATGGATGGCTTAGACCTCCCACCTACCCCCTTAGTTGCTTCCACTGAAACTCTCCCCTGTCATGAGTGAAAAAAAATGAGGCATCCAGTGTATCAACGTCCAGCAGTGTCTGGTACGTGGCAGATGCTCAGTGAACCATTTTGAATTAATTAGTTGATGAATTCATAGATACGGGGTGGTGTGCTGCCCAGTCCTGGAACTGTTCGTTCATCCTGGGACCCATTCCTTGCCTTCTCCTGCTCACCGGGAACTGACCCCCACAGGTTGCCTTTCTCAGTCTCTCGGCAGCTGGCTTCTGGCTGGTTTTGGTCAGAGACGGGCGCGGGTGGGAGATCGGGAGGCGGGAGAAAAGAAGAAGAGGGGGTATTTCCCCTGCTCTGTCCCAATCACAGGCTCCTTTTCTCCAGCTTCCGCCAAAGAAGCCCCGTGCAGCAGCTCCACTTCCCCAGCCACCGTATTCTGGCACCTGCTCCCTCTGCCCCTCCACCCCCGGGAGGCTGTGTCTAAGGAGACACGGTGTTTATCTCTGAATGGCTGCCCCCTCTTCTACGTGGCTACTCAGCCCCACCATCACCCAGGGAACCACTTCTCTGTCGTTAACTCCTCCTGCCGTGGACACCTGAAGTGGTTACCAATATTCACTTAGATCCCTCTTTGGAAGCCAGAGCGTCTGGACCCAGCCTTAAGAGGACCCCGCCCTTCCGAGCTCCACCGCCCACTGGCCATGGCCAGTCAGTCCCTGTGAGCCTCGGTTTCCTCATCTGTAACAAGGACGAACAGCACCCATTCTGCTTCTCTCCCAGGACCACTGTGAGAGTCCAGTGAGGCAGTCCATTCATACATTCACCGAGGACCTCTGTGCGCCTGCCACGTGCAGAGGTGCAGAGGATAGAAAAGGGAGCAGAACAGCCAGCGTCCCTGTTCTCAGGGGGCTCCAGCTCGTAGTAGTAAATGTGCTTATGAACTGCAGAGTGCTCTATAAGTCTAACAGAATAAGCTGACCTGGCCTTGACCTCCAGGGACCCTTGGGGATGCTCAGAGCTCTCTATTCCACTTGCTGGGAACCCCAGCCCTGCCCTACCTTAAGGTGCACTGGCCAGCGACAGGCACAGTAACCTGGACAGCTGAGCCCCTCCTCCCAACCACATCCAACTCGGGCGTCCTGATGGCTTGTGTCTATTTATGTATCGGAGCTCACTTTAATTAATCGTAAAAAATTAGGCTGATTCTTCTGCTGTACTAGTTTTTTTTTAATGGTGGTTATTTGGTTTATTTGAAGTCAGCGTGCCATCGACCGGAGCCTGCAAATCTTGTTTATGCCTAGATTGTGTTTGGAATGGTATTCTCCGTAACACGATTTTTAGTTATTGATGACCTCTTTTATAATGATTTAGCCAGCTCCGCTTGAATGATAGTATTGATAACAATATGTGGCCGACAATCTATTTGCGGCAATACTCCAAGAGGCGAGAGAAAAGCAATTTGTGCCCATGTGGAAAATAGGTAAATTTGCCGTTTTTAAGCAAGCATGAAAATGGAGCTTATTAATCCTGACCCAACGCCTCTCGCTCCCCCTGTGCTTTCATGTAGTATCTCTTGCACTGTCCTGTGGAGAAGGTATTCCCATCCCCACTGTAATCACTAAGACTCACCCAGGTAGGCAACAACGAAGCCAGAATCCAGGGGCGGGTAGAAAAAAGAGAAGATGCAGGTCCTTTTTAAGGCACCGTGATCTCCCTGGGCCTCAGCTTCCTTGTCTGTCAATGGAGGTAGTAACTAGGGGCCTGCGGGGATGGGGGCGGGGGATTAAGTGAGAAGGCTGTGCGGCTGTCACGTGGCTCTGGGTGCACAGTAACTAACCAATGGCGGCTCTAACAGAGGGCAGGGCTGTTCTCTCTCTCTCTCTCTGCAGACGACCATTCCCGGGTGAGGCTGCTGGTGCTGGATGGGGACCCGCACTCCGACTACATCAACGCCAACTACATCGATGTGAGGGTCTTCCGGGGGCCGGGCCGCTGGGGTCTCGGGTTGGCTGTGGCAGGCTCAAAAATCTGTGGCTGTTCCTCTGACTCTCCCCCAGAAGGGGGCCTTCCCAGAACAGGGCCAGAGCCACTGGCTTCTCCCTGATTAGTGTAACTAGTGTGGCCCAAGTTATTTGTCCATCTTGCGTGGCCTGCTCCTTCTAGCTGGCTGGAGCAGCCTGCTCTGCGGGGCCCAGACAACTGCCAGTCATGTTCATTCACCTGTTGATTCATTCACGTATGTGTCTGTTTATCTAGTCATTCATTCATTTGAAGGTATAGCCGTTTAGACAACAAGACTTGAAAAGGGCTTCCTGTGTAGTCGGTGCTTTGGGAACCATAAAGCTAAAAATGCCATGGCCCTACCCTCTGAAACCTCAGCAGGAAGATAAGCTGTGCCCAGCAACAATCGTAGGACAAACTAGAAAGTGGTAAGAGTTATAAGTGCAAATAAAATGCTGCAGGGGTTCAGAGATGGGAGAAAAACATTGCCTCTTCCATCAACAATGTAAAATGTGATGTGAACCAAAGCCTCAAGCACAGGTAGAATTGAAAACCAAAGGGAGAGGGTGGGCCTCTGGTTAGAGGGGACAGCACAGCCAAGATGTAGCATCTGGAAGCAGCGATAGGCAGCGGCTCAGTCTGAGGGGGACAGAGACTACGTAATGGGAATGGTGGAAAATGAGGTTGGAGCTAGATCACAGGTAGTCTGTGACCAGACTTAGGAAGTCAGACTTTATCCTGTAAGCAAGAAAAAGCTATCAAAAGGCTTGAGCAAGAAGGTGACCAGTTCAGAGCTGAGCTTTGGGATGACTCATCTATCACCAGGGGTGAGAGAGAGATCAGCAGGAGGGGAGTCTGGGATGAGGATGCTGGAATATAGACCTAGAAGGGACTCAAGTCCAATACGGGAGTCAGATTCGAAAGGAAACCCTCACAGAGCAGGGCCTATGGAAGCCTAAAAGAAAATCAAAGGCTTGAGGTCAGGGAAGCCCTCCTGGAGGAGGTGACACAGTGCTGCCTTAGGCAGCAAGAGTGAGCAGGCAAGAAGGGGTGATAGCAACCTAAGAAGTATCACCTCTTGTGTATCAGCATGACCTTAACTAGTACCACAACCTCACAAAGTAAGTGCTGTTACTACCCATTTCTAGGTGAGGAAGCTGAGGCTTTCTAAGTCATGTAACTTATACAAAATCACACTGCTAGGAGGTAAGGGAGTAGGGAGCAGGAGTCTGGACCAGGGGTGCCTCCCCCAGCAAGCTCTATGGGCTTTAATAATAACAGCAAAGCAATAGCAAGAGCCAGTAACTCTGAGTCCCTCTTGAGCCCTATGACAGGTAGTTTTAAATGAGTCCATCTCTAGAGACGTCTCAACAACCCTCCCAGGTTTTCAGGCCATCATCCCCATTTTCCAGATGGAGAAGCTGAGGTTACAAAGCTTGTCTCAGGCAAGGCAGCTGGTCAGCGGCAGAACCAGGCAAGGAACCAGATCCAAATGGCTCTCTGGACTGGAGTCCCTCCTGCATGTGCTGACCCAGACTGAGTGGGTTTATTCCATTTCCTCTTGACCTTGTCTGCAGTGGAATGGATGTGGTAGCCTTGGGGGCCATGGCCCACATGGGGGCTGCTGGCCTGAGTTGCAATATCTAGCATTTGTCATCTGAGTCGTAACCTCTAGCAAAAATCATTTTTCTAGATAGACACTCAGTCCAAAATTGAGTGAGCATCTGACTGCAGTCAGAGCCCAAATGTGCTTTGGTATGTTATGGGCAACAAATGAAATGGCTGTGATTGCAAGTGAATCTCTGTAACGTCAATACTAGTAACACCTCCCATTTCTACCCGGTCTTACCATTGTACTGCATTCTGCAAGCCAATTGTTAAAGCAGCCAGAGGTCAAGGTAAAGAGCCTTGCTCCAGCTCACACAGCTAGATTCAGTTCCCTGCCCACCACAACCTGCTCCCTCTCTCTGTAAGTAGCAGATTGTGCAGACCAGCCAGACAGCCTCTGCAAGGTGCTATCTTAGTATGTGATGCTGGGCTCTGTGCTGGGTCTCCATGGTTAAAGTCAAGGGCTCACAAGACCAAAGTGATGAATTGAGTCCTTGTAAGGCCTCTCGAATCCAGGCAGTTCTGCTTACTAGCTTGATGATCTTGGGTAAATTATTGACTTGTTCTGATATTTGTAAAATGGGATGGTAACGCCACCCCACAGGAATGTGATGCCTGATGTAAAGTGTCTGTCTGTCAAGGTCCCTCTGGGAAACAGGGTTCATTCAGATGGATTAACCCAGCAGAGATGAATAAGGGTGGAACAGGACTGAGGGAAACCAGCAGGGTATGGTGCAGTGTCCCCAGGGCAAGCAACAGCGGGGTGCTCCAGGCCTAGAGAGGGGAGAGAGTAGCTGTAAGGACAGGGCCCCCTGACAGGAGCTGTAGCATTTGATAGAGAGTCAAGGCCAGCCCATAGGGACCGGGTAGGGAGAGCAACTAAAAGGACATACACTCCAAGCTCCTCATGGCCCCTGAGTTCCTCTCTGCTCTTCAGTGACCAAACCCAACTCTAAGCAGAAGGCATAGAAGCCAATGGTGTGGTCCATGCAGGTCAACCCCCCACGACACAGAGCAGAGCATGCAAGGGCAGAAAGGGGACATGGAAGGACAGAGAAGGCACCAAGTGCAAGCACCTCCCAGCAGTGCTACCAACACGGGCCAGACGGTGGGAGAATCCCATTAATTGTCAACCTACTATGGGTATTCCTGGCCAGAAAATCTAGATAGCTACCTAGTAGTCCTCACCCCTTTGTCCTGGTCTCCACCCCAGCCGAAGTTTTCCCAGCTCTCCAAAGACCTTACTGCCCTCACTAGAATCATTTATCTACAGCTAGATCTCGACGATCCATTAAAACAACTCCATTTGGATAATGAGCTGAATGTGGCCAGCTCACTCTGTGCCTCCAGAGGCCACGGCTCTGCCACCGCCTGAACCATCCACTGGCGGGTTTGCGCACCCGAGAATGTATCTGGCCACTTGAATTTGTTATAAACGACCAGTCTGGAAATAAATATCGGATCTGGGTCCCCCGTAAGTAACAGATGCATGCGTGCAGAGTGAGACAAATGCGCTTTGGATGCACACCTCCGTCCCATTGCTCGCAGACAGACGCAGGCAGGCCCGGTGCTGGTTGGCAGTCCAGCTGCGTGCCGTACACAGGTGGGGCTTAAATGAACTGAGTTCTTTTAAGGTTAGAAAGTTTTCTGCACCAGCTTGTGAGCAAATCCCTGGAGGAGCCCCAATTGAGAAGTTCATTTCCTATTATCAACACTGCAGAGGAGTCTTGCTCGTGGTTAGAATGCGTTGTCTCTGGGGACTGCATGGGTTCTGGGAGGCCAGACAGCATCTCTCACTCAGACTCAGCGTGGAAACAGGCACAGAGCATGCATGAATGCATGCAAATAAGAGCGTTACGCTCTTTGGATCTAAGTGCTCTGGAAAAAAAATAACCAGAGAAAGCAGAAACAGGCTGATAGGCTGGTCATGGAAGGATTCTCTGGGGAGCTGACTAACACCCAGTCAGTCCCCTAAACTACTAAACCACTCAGTTATGTGGGGACAGCCTGTGCAGGCACCAGGAATGGCCACTGCTAAGGCCTCTAGATGGAAATGGGATTGTTTCTGAAGACCAGCAAGACAGCCAGAGAGCCACGGGGAGGGTGGTAAGAAAACAGAGACAAGTGCTGAAGGGACGAAATGGGAATGACAGCGATGCCGAGATGCTGAAGCTCAGCTCACGGGGCCAGCCGAACTGCCACCACCTCAGAGAATACACCTCTGGCCACCTGGGCTGAGTCAGTGCCCATGGAAACTCCATAGAACCCCACGCCTTCCCTGGCTCCAGTGGTTGATGCCTGTTAGCTTCTCAGAAGCAGAGCCCACATCCATCGGGTCTGCTCTGGCATTTCCAGGGCCTGGGACATAGGAGTAGGTGTGCACTAATACCTGTTCACTGAATGTTGAATGACTGAGAGAACAAGTGAATGGGCAGACTAGTGAACCCAAACCATCTGACCCCACAATTGAAATGTGAATTTCTTGCTCAGAATTCAGTCCCATTGACTTTCAAGCACTTAGAATCTTCCAAATCAGTTTCCTCCAGGGGGTGTTTGTCTTCCAACCCGTGCCTTAGGGAGTGACCCAACCTCACCTCAAAGACATATTCATGCACGTATGCCACCAACCAGCCTTTGCTGGAAATTACACCTGGATCTGGGTGGCCTGTCCCTTGGCCCGGAGGGAGAAGAGCACAAAAAAACGTAGTGCAGCACGTATGGCAAATGCACTAGTACAAAGCCCTGCAGGACCACTCAGGAGACGGGAGGTCTCGTTTGAAGTGCAGTGCGGGGAGCTGGGACACAAGGCACAGGAGGCCGGGAAGGGGGACAGAGAGGGACAACTGGAAGTGAGGCTGGGGACGAGGGTGGAGGCAGATTATCAGTCCCGAGCTAAGGCATTCGGGCATCACTCTGCAGGCAGTGGGGAGCCTTTGCAGCTTTTAGGCGGGGAAGCCATGGAATCGGGTGTGCTTTGGGAAGTTCGCTCTGGCCGGAAGCAGATGGGCTTTGGGACAGGACTGGAGGCAGGGAGGCCAGTAAGGGGCTGGTGCCATGGCCCGAGACAGGGAGGACAAGGACTGTGGGAAGTGATAATGGGGTGACAAAAGAGAGGACTTGAGAAACCACATCCTTCCCCGCCCTCAGGTACTATGTTCTGTTCCCAAACCTACTCAAGAAAACTCCTACCATTTTGATGATCTTGGGTAAATTATTGACTTGTTCTAGAATCTAGAGTCAAATTCTTCCTGTGAGCCTGGGAAACCCTCTCCGTCTTGACTTGGAGGGACAGATAGCTCTTCGTACCTCCCACCTGCCTTTCTACTTCTCATGCCTCCAAGAAAGGCTCAGTTACTGCAGTAATAGAGCAGGAGAACAGAGGGGAGGGAAGGGCCGCCACCGTCTCAGGACCTTCCAAGTGGCCAGCACAGACTTTTAGTAGTGACAGGCACTCGGTACATGTTTGCCAGATACACAGTAAGTAAAATAACAACAATAACAAAGACATATGTTACATCATAGAATAGGGCCTGGCATGTGGGAAGTGTTGTATATGAAGTCATTTAATGCTAACAGCAACATTATAATGTAAACACTGTTATCCCCATTTAACAGCAAAAAATCAACTGAGACACAAGGAAGTTAAGTAACTTGCCACAGACCACACGGCCTGTAAGGGACACAGCCAGGATTCGAACCCAGGCAGCTAGGTCCCAAGTCTGGGCACATAACTGTCATGCTATGCTGTCTCTCTAGCTGGCCTGTCAATAGCTTGTTGATGGGCCATTGCTCTGAGTTTCACACCATACTGGGCTTTATGTAAAACTTTGTTAAAACTTAAGAGGCAGTGGTTGTCCTCAAGAAGCTGACAACCTCACTAGGAAGATAGAACCATGCAAAGAGTTTAGGCAATGCTATTGATTTCTAGTGCTTAGTCCAACAGTTTTTGGTCATGACATTGGCCTTGGGTCGGCATTGACAGTCAACCCAAGCATGACCAGTAACTGGCAGGTACCAGTAAGTGTTTACGGAACCAGTGGAAGACAGGTGGAGAAATGCAGAGCACTCAGAAACTCGGCTTTGAACCAGAAAGCAGATCCAGGACTTCAGAGCTGCTACATCTGTTTCACCATAAACCATCCAGATGGCAAGTCTGGCCCAGCTCCTGAAGGAGGGGGCCTTTGGGCAGCTCAGCCACCCCAATGGGAGAGAAGACTGATCACCAACGCTTGAGACCGAAATAGGTGTGCGCCAACCTGCAGGACCCATTCTGTCCCGAGAGGGTGAACCCTAAGGGTTAGCCATCTACATCCTCTCCAATAACAGGCTCCATAACTGGCATCTGTATTTTTTTTTACTTTATTCATTCACTCATTTATTCATTCCATGATTGCTAATTCCATTCAGTATTACATACTAAATGCAAATCTGCCCCCAAAACTTGAACTTCTACCCAATATGACACCCTTCCTCTCTGTAATAAGAAAGGGGGCCCTCCATGTATGCCATGTCCAGGCAAAAGAGAAGGTCATCTCTGGCCTCTTCCCCAACTATTAGGATTATAGGACACCAGGGTAACCCCATGCCAGAGCACAGCACGGCCTGCTCGAATGCTCTGTGATATACAGGGAAATCAGAAGCTGGCTGATCCTCGGAATCAGAAGGTGGCTTTATTGGTCTTGAGGTCACGCCTACTCGGGGTCCTCCCCAATGAATGGGACATCAGTTCCAAGATCAGTCATGCCACACAGAGAGGCATCAGAGCATCCGTCCCAAAGTTCTTTTCCTAGTTGTCACTAATGCAAGGAGTCGATGGTGCAAGTATTTTCTTCTCTCAGGTCCCCCACAGGGCCTCGTGCAGTGTTCTGCGTGTAATCATGGCTCAGGGTTGAATTTCTGGTGGTTGATGCCCCACAGAAACTCAGAAATTTCTTTTCTGCCTCTTCCTGGGTTTGTGGACATAAGTGGCGCCCACCCAATTTTTGCTCCCTGTCCACTGGCTCCCAGGCAAGCCCCTGTGGGCACCTCCCGACTATATTGATACAGTGATAGCTGACATTTAGTGATTCACTAAGCACTTTGTATGCACTATCTTATTTCATCTTTAACACTTCTCCGAGACATGTCTCATGCTATTCCCATTCTGCCTATGAGGAAGCCACCTCTTAGAAAGGATAATCATTGATATGATGCCTTTTGCAAGCTTTGCCAAGAGGCCCTTCACTGTGCTTTTCTCTGTCATCCAGGGATACCATCGGCCCCGGCACTACATTGCAACTCAAGGTAAGTGCCCTCCTTTCCCTTCCGCCAAAGGGCCCTTGCCCTTCACTGGCAGAGAGGAGGGAGCTTCTGCCAGCAAAGAAGTGGTGCAGGAGTCTGGCTGGAGTGGCTCCGGAGGTCTTGAGATTGCTCATCGGATTGTTTGGGAAGGAAGGAGGTGGCGAGTTCGGCTGCAGCGGGGAGGGGCCTGCGTGAGAGAGGAAGGAGGTGTGACGAGGAAATGCTCAGGCAGGACAGACCTAAGCAGAAGCCTCGAGCCTGTGCCACCAAAACGCGCCATCCAGCGGGGCGCGTTTTGCGCCTCATCCCCCCAGCGTGTGCACCCAGATGAGAGAAGCGGTCAGGTGTCCTAGAGAGCGTCTCGGCAGTATGTGATCAGAAGGCTGAGCAATGGCCATCCCTCTCAAGGCCTTCTGGGAGGAAATCCTATGGATGATCATACATGTGGACAGTGACATATGTAATGATACTCTTCACAGTGTTATCTATAATAAATAGGAAAAAAAGTGAAAACTCTTAAGTACCCAACAATTGATAGATTGGTTAACGTGTGGTACTTCCCTATTATGGAAAATTATGCAGCTATGAAAAATATCATGCTTGGTAATAATTTTCAAGGGCATGGGAAAACCCATATAGTAGATGTGATGCTCTTATTACAGTAAATCCATGCATATAACAGATATGCATATCTGTGTATGTATAGAAAAATGGCATTCAAATTTTTTTAAGATTTTATTTATTTATTTTTAGAGAGGGAAGGGAGGGAGAAAGAGAGAGAAACATCAATGCGCGGTTGCTGGGGGCCGTGGCCTGCAACCCAGGCATGTGCCCTGACTGGGAATCGAACCTGCGACACTTTGGTTCGAAGCCCGAGCTCAATCCACTGAGCTACACCAGCCAGGGCTGGCATTCAAATTTTTATAGTGAATACACATAGTACTCTTGTAATTTTAAAAATGATGAAGGCCCGGAATATTGAAAGAGGATTTTCTGAGGAGATTGCTTTGGATCCTCAGGTCTCATCCCCCCTCATTCCTTATCTGCTCTGTTCACCCTTCTGCCCAAGCCCCCGGCAACGGCTCACGTGTCTTGTCTCCGTGCTCTCAGCGTCTGGCCCCGGCAGCTCTCCACCCTCCTGCCCTCTCTACCCAGTTTCCTTCCTGTCTCACTAGGGTTCTGAAGCCCAGTCTGTATAAAAACTCCCCTGAGCTCTATCATTAACCCATAATACTGTCCAGATGAGGGGATGGGTCAGGGGAAAGGGGCTGGTAGAAAGGGTTCAGCAGGAGGATGAGCGAGGGAAGAGGAGAGGGGCTGGCAAGTTTGCAATGTGGCCTTTCTTACTCAAACTCTGACCTCACAAGCCTCAGGCCCCAGGCTCAGCTACTTGGGTGTCCCATCCAGGACCCCCCAGCCTCACTGTCGCTCGCCCATATGAAGCCAGGACCGAGCAGCCAGAAGGGACGGCCTCCTGGCTGCCTCCTGACGCTCGTGGTCTTTGACCCTGTCGTCTCCTTCCCTGTCGGCAGGTCCAATGCAGGAGACCGTGAAGGACTTTTGGAGGATGATCTGGCAGGAGAACTCAGCCAGCATCGTCATGGTCACCAACCTCGTGGAGGTGGGCAGGGTAAGCCCCTCCTGCGATTACCTGGATAGAGGGTGCTGGTGCTGCACACCTGAGCGTGTGTGTTCACGCGTTGTGCCGAGGGCCTCCTGTCCCGTATCTCACCCCCGCAGCCACCAGCGAGGGAGAAATCCTCACTTCTGTTTCACACTCGAGGGATGCCCTGTCCTTTCAGAGCCCCCTCCTTCCTTCCTTCCTTCCTTCCTCCACCCCCACTCTCCGTCGATGACATCATCTCATGGTTCAAGGAAACGTCAGCCATCAGACGTGAACTGCCACATCTTCACGCCACAAAGCTCGTATCTACTCGTGTCCGCAGCCATCTCATTCTTCCCCTCTGTCCTCAGGCTGAACCATACAAGTGACTGTTTCCAATGACCCAAACAGTAGAATATCGGCCGATTCCTTGGCTCAGCCCAACACGATGGAAGAAGCGACTATTGCCCTTCAAAGGCAACCCCAGAGCCTTGAACCATGGATTCTGCTCGACTTCTCTCATGTCCCCGGTCACTTGAAAAAATAATTCTCTTTCTGATTGCTGGATGTTTGCAGGCAAACATCTTGAGTACCTTCCCCCTTAAAAATATATGATAGGTGAACAAAAAAGATTCTCTTGTCCCTACTTTTCTGCCAAACTCTACAGATCGGCACACAGGCTCTGTGTCTGGTTTTCTTCTGCCCACTGCCGTCCGCATAGCTCCTCCCGCCATCCCACCCACAGTGACGCTGTCAGCATCACCGCATCCTCCATGTGGACAAATCCAGCAGCCACTTCTCTCTTCTCATTGTACTCGACCACTCAGCAGCATTCAACCCTTTGCTCCCTGACCTCTGAACCTCCTTCACCTTCTTCAGGGTTCAGACCTTGGTCTGCCGCTCTGTTCTATCTCGCGTCTCTCTTGGGTGGTCCTCAGCTCCTCCTAGGGCTTAGAAACAGGAGTGTCGTGCCCAGCTCGCTGTCGCCTACTTGGTAAACTGTGGCCTGTGGGTGGGTGGGCTGCTGGATTCATAGGCAGGGTGCGCACACACTAGAATGAAGAGGGACTCTCTACTGAGGGGCTAACGAAGGAGTGGGCAGGTAAGTTTTTGCTTTGGCGAGAACTAGATAATTCATCCAAATAGCATCCTGGCCTCCCAGATCAGGGGAAAGGGGGGTCTGGGCTGTGAGTCATAACCCAGTAAAGGGCTGTGGACATCTCATGCCCTAACAGGAGTGCAGAGCCAGGAGAGACTTGACCCTTGAGCCCACTCCATTCCCAGTTTTACAGATGAGGAGACAGACCCACAGGGGTGGAGTAACTGCCCTGAAGTCGCCCAGCTGGGACCCGCACAGGGTCTCCAACTCCCGATTCTCATCCTAGTGCCCGTGGGGCCTCCTCCCAGGGACTAAGGCCCAGGCCGTGGCCACTGTGGACGAAGCGCCATCCCAGGATTTGAGAATCCAGAGGCAAATTGCAGCCTGTCCTGTAACTCATCCCACATCAGAGACAGGTTCCCTGCATGGGTAGATCATGAGTCTAATTTGGATTTGGAAAGGGGACAGGAAACCTATCTCTGAATGGGACTCCCGCTTGGCCAAGCCCTGCACCAGACCCTATCATGTGTTCACTTTATTTCTTCTCACAATGGTCCAAAACAGTGCTCCTGGTAATTGTTCACACGCCCTGGATTTGCTTCCTTACTCCATCCCTTCCTAACTGTTGACCTTGGGCAATGTCCTTAGCCCCCCTGTGCTTCTGATTACTCATCTGTAAAATGGGGATAGCAGTATCTACTTGGTCATAGTGATAAGTGATCAAAACAATACATGCAAAGTGTTTGTAGGAGACAGCATTAAACACAGTGAGCACTCAAGAAGTGTAGCTGTCGTCTTTCATAGAAGCTGAGGCTCACAGAGGCCTCCAGCACTTTCTGGAAGCTGTACAGCTGCCGACTGTTAGAATCATGCGATTCACCCATTTGCCTCCAAAGCCTGTGGCGCCCTACCAGCGTTTCCCTAAGTGGGTTCCACGGGATGCTGGTCTGCAGGATGTGTAGTGAGAAGAGGGTTCCATGGTTAAATACGTTTGGGAAATGCTGTGCGCTCGTTGCCCCTTCTGGAGAGTCAAAAACCAAACCAAACCAGACCAAATATTAGCAGTAGCACACGAAACCCGCGGAGCAGTCCTCTAGCGAAACAGCCCGTTTAACTTTGTTTAATCCAGCATTTCCCAAACTCATTTGACCACAAAACCTTTTCTGTTTGTTTTTTGTTTTCTTGTTCTTTACCTAACACCTACTAGCACCCAGCGGAACACACTGTGGGAAATGCCACTCTAGGCCGCTCGGCGTCCCCCGGAATGGTAATGCTTTTGTTCTTTTACGGGGAAAATCGTGATCTCTCTTTCCTCCTGCGGAGTGTGACGCAGAGTCGAATGGGGGAATGGCTTGTTCGTAGCGTCCGCACCCACCGCCTGGGCAGAGAGCCGCGGCAGGGTCTTCCCTTCGAACCCAGCACCGTCCATCCTCCCCGAGCTGAGAACCTTCTCCTTCCAGCCCCCAGTGACCAGATCTTACTACCAATGTCCCTCTCCCGACCACTTCCGCTTTCACCTCCTCACTATTCCCCACCTTTTATTCTCATCTCTGCTCTGCTGGTACCAGCTGCCCCAGCCTGACACACCATTCAGCCAAAGGTAGAAAACCGGCCACATGACCTTGGACAAGCCACCAAACCCTCCAAACTTGAGTATTATTTTCATCTGTCATGTGGGGATACCACTACCCACCTATCTTGCCTAGATCTATTGTTGGATAATGGACTTGAAAATGATAAGGAGCTCTGCAGAAGAAGGTACCAACCACCATTATCCCTAATGGCTCCAGCTCCTCTGGGAGTGAGCGTGGCCCTGTGCACTTTGCTGATCCCTGGCCAGCTGAGAACCCCTTGGACGGAAACGCCACCACAGTCACCCTTGGGTTTATTTGAACGGGAAAGCCAGGTGAGGCGGCCGCTTACACTCAGCCACCTGCTCATGTGTCCTTGTCTCTGTCCTTTCACACAGGTAAAGTGTGTGCGATACTGGCCGGATGACACGGAGGTCTATGGCGACATTAAAGTCACCCTGATTGAAACAGAGCCCCTGGCGGAATACGTCATACGCACCTTCACGGTCCAGAAGGTAAGCATCCCTGTGGCTGTGGGCAGCCTGTCCACTCACCAGCTGGTCTGTCTGTTCGGGATACACAGTGAGTGAGGTTCACTCTGTGCCCATCTGTGATTGACAGATCAGCAGTCCAGTTAGATGTGGCTCCTGATCCGAAGGATCCCACCTCCAGCAAGAGGGATGAACAGAATTCAACAACTAAATGGAATAATAGCACATGGTGATTAAAGCCATGAAAGAAACATGCCACAAGTGGAGACAAGAGGTGGTCAGAGAGGGCATCCTGGAGGAGGAGGCATTTAGACAAACAACAAGGGGGAAATTTTTTCAGCATGTTCTAGGCCCGTGGGTCTCAACTTGGAGTGATTTTGTCCTGCAGGAGACCTTTGGCAATTTTTAGTCGTCAAAACAGAGGGAGGAGAGGTGCTGCTGACATCTACCTGGTAGAGGCCAGAGGTGCTGATAATCGTCCTGCCATGCACAGGACAGCCCGACCCCAAACAACAAAGAACTATCCAGTCCAAAACGTCAACAGTGTCAGGACTGAGAAACGCTGGTCTGGGCACTGAGAGGAGGAGACCAGGTAGCAGGAGCTTGAGAGCAAGAATGTGACTTGCAAATTATTATCCCCATCTTTATAATTTAATTACTATAGAACCATTGTTACTCTATCACTACTATTAGAATGACAGCTAACGTTTATTGAACACTTACGAAACCAGGTGCTTTGCATAGATTAACTCATTGAATCCTCCTAACAACCCCTTGAGGTAGACACAATTATTACTTTCATTCTATTGATGAAAAAGAATTAGGCACAGAGCATTTAAGTCAGTTTTCCAGAGTCACCCAGCTCCAAGGTGGCCGGAGAATTTACACGTGGTGAACTTCTGACTGGAAGTTCATCGTCACTTCCACTCCACCCCAATCGCCACTTTCTAAAAGCAACAGTGTTCACGGACCCAGCAGCCACAGGCCTGAGGGACGCAGAGCACTGGGGTCTTCAGTGCTTTGAGAACTGTGCCATCAGGGCTTGACAAGGGCCAGTCCTGTGTGAACAGCTGAACGCTGGACACACTGTTTGCTCCCTGCAGCGCCCCCACTGGACAGAGGACCACAGCTCCATTGATGTGGTCTTAGGTCAGTTTCCTTAGAAGCAGAGCGGGAGACAGGGGTGCAGATGCACGAGGTTTATCAAGGGACCACTCTAGAGAGAAACTGGGAAGAGAGGAAGGGAAGCAGAAGAGAGAAGGGGAAGTCTAGCCTCGGCCTGACCCACAGGGGCCTCAGAGCATCAACCACGCCATAGAGGTGGCCCCTCTCCTCAGTCAGGCACCGAGGGGTCACCTTCAGAGTGAGCTGGCTCCTGTCAGCTGAGGGTACTTCTCCAGGAAGGGGGCACCTGTGAATCACTAGCAGCCCACACTCCTGCAGCTGAGGCCTGCAGCACAGCCCCAGAGAGGACCTGGGTGGGGCACCCATCTCGTCTACCACGCGGTGACCGAGGACGCGACAGGGAACATGACAGGCCCATCTTGGCACCAGACCCTAGTCAGGGAGGCCTTAGGGGAATGGCAGGCAGCCCAGCAGGTGGAGTCCTTTCTTGGGCTGTCTTTTTGTTTTTCTTTCAAACAATCACAAGGGACGGTACTCCCCCTAGGAAGACACAGGCCTCAGGGGACTCACTCAGCATGCCCAGGCTCTGCACCGCATTCAGGCAGGAGCTCAGCAAGCACTGCCTGGGTCATTAGCTCAGAATCGGTTCCTGAGCTGGGGACCCAGAAACCAACAGGAAGCGGTGTCTGCCCTTGAAGAGAACACAGTCCATCAGGGAGACATACATAGTCACAGCGCAGGCTGGTGAGGGCGCAAACAAGGGCTTCCCGGGGCTGAGCTGATTCAGAGGATGGAGTGAACAACCCCATGTACTGCTGAAGCTGTTTTCTCTTCTCCCACTTCAGCTCGACCAGTGGTGCCTGAACTCAGGCCTTCGTTCACTCCCGCCTGGGCCCTCCTGGGCCCTGCAGCAGCCTCCTAAGGGGGCTCCCTGGCTCTAGCCTTGCCCCGTCTCAGTTTGAGTGTCCAAGAAGCAGAGCCTGAGACCAGGATTCGGATCCCCTTGATGATGTGTCAGGGAGAACTGTGAGGATGAGGGGACAGACGGGGCAGGCAGGAGAAGGATCGGAGCAAGGGTGTCAGTCTCAGCTGGGGACCAGCCTCAGGCCAGTCCCACTCTGGGTGTCAGCCCAGGAAAGCTGGTTCCTTCGGGGCTGAGAGCAATTCTCTGAATAAGGGGTAACTCTGAGCTGCCTGCAGCCAAGAGTCAGAGTAGCTGGGATGGGCAGCAAGGGGGGCTGTCCCAGGAAGGGGGTCTGGGTGGCCATCAACAGTGCCCTCTTCATAGCCTCCCAACACACCCAGCCAAATCCCTCCTCCGCACAGTACCTGGCGTGACCCTCCTACAGTGCAAGTCTGACACACGGCCCCTTCTTGGCAGCCCTCTGGGCAGCCTCCCTGTCACTCCCCAGCCGGTGCCTCTGGGACAAGTCCAAAGGCCTGAAGGTGGGATCCCAGGCCTTCCAGGACCCAGCACCCACCCAGCCGCCCACCCCAGTCCTGCTGCCCACCCTCACCTGTCTTCCATTCGCTCTGGCGTTGCCCTAGGCTGTTTGTGATTCTGTGCACATTTGGTGCAAGGTCCCCTCCCACACCCTGCCTGCGCTGCCTCTCTGCCTAGGAAGCCCCCCCTCTCTTCAACCGGGAACGCTCAGACAGCGGTGTCTCCTGATGCTTGGGAGTTCAGAAGGTGGGGCCAGCAGCCAGGGTTCAGATTGTAATGGCACAACTTCCTAGCTGTGTGACCTTGGGCCTGTTACTTAACTTGGCTCAGTCTCAATTTCTTCATCCATACCAAGGAGACCCGGATGTGTATGAGCACACTGAAGGCTCTGACAAGTCCTGCAGTCATGCAATCACTTCACTGGATCTGCTTCCCAAGTTCCCAGACGTAGCAGATCAGACAATCCCTCTATGCAGCAGCACCTGGGAACCCTCCAAGGGCCTGTCCTCCCCGGCAGTGGGGAGACTGGCACCTCAGCACCGCAGCCGTGGCTCCCCATGGGTGCCAGACAGGGTGTGGGGGGGCAGGCAGCAGCTGGAGGAACAGAGGCCCGTTCTCTCCTCAGAAAGGCTACCATGAGATCCGGGAGCTCCGCCTCTTCCACTTCACCAGCTGGCCCGACCACGGCGTCCCCTGCTATGCCACTGGCCTCCTGGGCTTCGTCCGCCAGGTCAAGTTCCTCAACCCTCCTGAAGCTGGGCCCATCGTGGTCCACTGCAGGTAAGTGGAAGTCCCCTCCCCACCCGCACCCCCGACCAGCTATAAAAGGGACCCTCTGCAGCTCTGCTCTCTCGGGGAGGGAGATACCATTTTGTCCAGCGGCCTTTATTCTTTGCCTTAAAGACTCCCCCGTCTGTGTGCAGTGCCGACTGCTTTCTGCTGAGGTCTAGCAAGAACAGTAGGCGTGGCCTCAGCAGCCACTGTTACCTCTGTTGTCCAGAAACAGTAAAGCCCCCCTGGGGGACAGCGTCTGCTGCGCATGCCCTTTACCCACATTAGTTCACTTACTTCTCAGCAACCTTGAGAGATGGGCACCGTCACCATTCCCATTTGACAGGTACGGACACGGAGGTGCCGAGCAGGCAGACACCTCGCTCGTGTCACACAGGGGTGCAGCGCCAGAGCGGGGATTATCTAACACGCTTCCCTCCGGATGCTCACCCTCAGCCCCTGGACGTGGCAGCGGGCGGCCACTGTGGAAGGGGCCTCTCTTCACATCTGTTATGTCAAAAATCAGTTGCTGGCCTGCAGGGTCCCGAACAGAGAGTAGATGGGCAGTGTCAGGTTCCCCCTTCCTGTGGACAACAGGTATTTTCAGCTCTGACCTGGAAAGCCGCATTGGGAATGACGGGCACGACTTTGAACCCTCCTAAATGGAGATGAAACATCCTGTCAAGGGCATGAAGGACTGGAGGAGGGAGGACGTCCAGACCGGAAGTCCGGCTAGCCTGCACCACTGCCCTCCTCCTTCCCACTGACTCTTTTCCAGTGGGACTGGGCCAGCCCATCTTGCAGACCCCGCATGCAGTGTATCTTACCCCTGCCCTGGCACAGCCCCGTCCGCCAAGGTCTCGCGTCAAGTCACGGGGAGGCTCCGTGAACTGGCGCAGTGTCAGAACCGTCCCTTTCTCACGTGGCACCTACTTTCCCTCCCCCAGAACGCAGAGGTGAGGGTCAGAAGTCCCATTTCACAGACAGCCAGGCCTTTGAGGATCAGGAGGTCACACTCCCATGCCCCCTGGGCCCTCTAAGAGTTTCGCATCTATTCTCTGCCTCCACCTCTTTACAATCCAAGGACAATAGGACGGTAGCCTCCAAGTCATGTGCCCCCAAAAGCAGCCAGAGCAGGGGTAGGGGAAAAGGGAGACCACGGCAAACAGTTAGCAGGCCCTCGCTGCACGATGCCTCCGTGTCTCCTCTCTGTAGCAAGTCACCTCAGTGCACCTGGGCGGAGTGGTACCCGCTCCTGGGGCTCCTTCTGAAGGTGAAATGGGTTGGCTGACATATGCTGGGTGCCTAAAGGAATTCTGGGCATACGTAAGCACTTAAACATACCACAGTACTCTGCCTCTTAACGCTGTCCCCCACTCCAGACTTCCAGCCCTTCAGGACAGGAACCATGCCCTACCCACCTTCATACCCCAGTCCCAGCCCCAGCATCCAGTGCCTAAAGAGGTGCCCAGTGAATACCGTATTTTTCAGACCATAAGACGCACCTAGGTTTTAGAGGAAAATAGCAAAAAAAATTTTTGAAGCAAAAAATGTGGTAAAATTTTTAATAACATAAATAACATAATATTTCACCAGTGTAAATATAAACAGAACTCAGCAGCAGCATTAACAACCATTATTCCTCCCAAATGGGGGGTGTACATCTTATAGTCCAAAAAATACGGTAATTGTTGAGTATCAGTAGCATCTGTTTATTGAGAAATTGCTATGTAGCCAGGCACCAGGCAAAGCAATTTACATGCATTATGCTTCTTTCACATAATTTCATGCAGTTTACATGTATTGTGGTATCGATGCTACCTGGTGGGTCTATTTATTGTTACTGACCTCATTTGATGGGCGAGGGTATTGAAACCCAGAGCGGGTGAGTCATTTACCCGAGGAGGTCACGTAGCCAGTAAGCGGGAGAACAAGAGTTTGATCCCAGGGGTCTGACCCCAGAGAGCATGAGCTTAATTGGTACGAGATGCTGGAATAAACACAGCTCGGTCCTCACGAGAGTGCTGCAGGGAGGTGTGATATATATAGAAGAAAACACAGGCTCATGGACGCCAGGCGAGGGATCCAGGATTCAAGCTCAAGTCAAGTTAGTTCTTTCCCCTAAAACAAGTCGGAGATGAGACTGGGGAGAAGGCACAGGGTGGGGTGGCTCTTAGACCCTGAGGCCCCAGCCTGCGGAGTCCCTTGTGGGGGTCTGGACTGCTGGGCAAGCACAACGAGGACTTCATTCACACCAGGAAATGTGGCCGTACGTGAAGACTCTGCCTCCCGCGGGTTACTTTCCAGACCGTCGGGGGTGGGTTCCCAGGGGCCTGCTTTGCAGATCATTGTTGGTGACGGTCCCCACTGGCCTGTCCACCGTGGACGCATGGTCAGCCAGCATCGCTTTCCCTACGGTTCCGTCATTCTTCCTCTTTGCGCTCCTTTCATTTCCATGCTGTGAGTCAAAGACACTCGTCTCCATGAGGGAAGCGAGAGAGACAGAAGCACAGCCGAGCGGCCTCCCTGACAGCTGGGCCTTCACTCCCAGAACCACACGCGTTTAAGGAAAACGCGGTCATGGCCTCTGGCTTTGGAGCCCAGCCCTGATCTGGGAGGTCCACGGGGTCTCCTTGAGACCCTGAGGTTTTGTTTCTTTGTTTGTCATTTTGGACTTGGTCTGAGATCTCCTAAAGGAAGCCCTCGGCCATCAGAATCGAGTGTGGACCAGGAGATGTGACCCCAGACCAGGGTCTTGGGGCTGGCAGCTGCGTGAGTTCATGGGTGCTCCTGCTCCGTGACCCTGGGAGAGCTGGTGCAGGTGGAGCCAAACCCAGGGTGGGGACACCGGACTTGGGACTCACGCTCTGCCTTAGGGACCACTCAGAAGAGCTGGTGTCTGCCCTCTCACTCCCTGCTCTCTGATTTCTCCGGTCTCTCCTTCCTTGCTTCCATCTATCAACCCATTTGCTGAAGAAGGTAAAAGAAAGAGCGATATGGAGGGGGGGAAGCAGGCTGACATGTTTTTAGGCATCTCCAGCATGCTGGGTACCTTTCAGCTGGGCCATCGTTAGTCATCAGATGAGGAAACTGCGCACATACATGTTGCGTGAGCATGTGTATGTACTATGACTGTTATTACCCCAGCCTGCCTGGGGTAAAGTTCCAGCTGCACCACTCACCAGCTGTGGGCTCTCGTGCAGGGGAAGTGCCCTGTGCCTCAGTTTTCCCACCCATGAAATGGGGTGAGAAACTTCATAAGAACTTCATCAGAGAACCAGTAGGTAACACTGGCGAAGCACTTAGAACAATGTCTGGTGCTTGGTAAGAGCCACGTGAGAGTTTGCCAAACGCGCACAACAAAAACAGGCCAGTCCTGACAGAAGAGCCCCCGAGACAAACAGCGCTCTCCTGTTCTACAGCCAGAGACCTGGGGCTCTAAGTTCAGCCGTTTGCTCAGGGTCTCCTGGTGACAGCGAGGTTCGGACAGCCCTGACCTCTGCAGCGTGTCGCCTCTCCGCAGGGTCTGGGCACAGGGCTGAATGTCAGGGGCCTGCCCGGGGCTGGTCCTGCCCCAAGTCCCTGACACAGACCGCTGTCCTTCCTTCCAGTGCCGGAGCCGGGAGGACCGGCTGCTTCATCGCCATCGACACCATGCTCGACATGGCCGAGAACGAAGGGGTGGTGGACATCTTCAACTGCGTGCGCGAGCTCCGGGCCCAGAGGGTCAACCTGGTGCAGACGGAGGTGGGTCCTGGGGGACGGAGCCGGCCAACCGCCGGCAGCCCTGGCCCAGGAGAAGCCTGGTAGAGCAGGAAGACCCATGGGTGGTGGCATCCTGCAGGAAAGGACCTGGGTGTGGGAGAAATGGCAGTGAGTGAGACACCATAGAAACTACGGCACCCCTGCTGACCCTGGGGTGCCACAGCTCAGGGACTCCCATCAGTGAGGAATGGTGGTGAGTTCCCCATCTCCAAGAGCATCCAAGCAGGGATTGAATGAGAGCATTCAGGTATTCTTTGAATTGTACTCCTGCCTGGGATGAAGGAGAAGAGAGATAGGGAAGGACAGGCATTTATTGAATGCCTACTCTGCACCAGCATTGCTTCAGTCACTGCCAGGATGGCTTCATCGGGGAAGTTACTGAGTTCTTGAACAAGGTGCTGGGGATTCCAAGGGAGAGAACACAGCCCCTGCCATTGTAGGAGAAATAGACCTTCAGCACCTCTCTGTCCAGTGAGAGAGCCCAGGACCCAAGGGAAATGGAAGGGTTTCATCATTATTGCTGAGCACCTACTATGTGCCAGGCATCATGCTAGGTTCTTTGCATGCAGGGGATTGTTCCTACTCCTCACAACAACCCCGTAGGGTAAATCCTACTACTACCCCTACTGTACAGGTGAAGAAACTGAGCCCCCGTGTCCCCATACCCTCCCCTAACCAGATAATGGTAGAGCTCAGGTCCGTGTGATCTCCAGGCCTGGGCTCCCTCCCCTGCACTGTGCTCTCGCCAGGAAGCCTCTCTGCCTGCTCTGCCCTCAAGGCCATGGTGTCACTCCTGTAACCAGCCCATCTTCTGGTTCTGGTGAAGGCTCCAGGTGCCAGGGCACTCGGAGCTGGGCCGCATCATCAGCCCTGCAGAGGGAAACTACCTGTGGCTGTGAGCATGGCCGGTCACTTACAGGCTTGGACACATGGAACCCTGCTGCAGCCCTGTGGCAGCTCCCACAGGCTGGTCTGCAGGCTCCTAGGGAAGCTGCTAAAGCCAAGAGGCCGCTTCCTCCATTCCCAGGGGTGTGCATGCGGGAGGCAGGCTCACCGGCTCAAGTTAGACACGCTGTGGCCCCTGCTGTCTGCTGGGGGAGACAGACATTCAAGTAGCTCATCGTATGTGTCTAGATAAGCATTTTATTTAAAGAGATGGGCCAAGTTCTGCAGGGAACAGTCACTCAACAAAGCTTTGTTAAGGGCCTGGAAGTTACGGCACCAACTTCCTCCTGGTAAATTTAGAGAAGACCTTGCAGAGGAAGTGAGACATTGAAGGCACAGAAAAGGGGGAGGGGGCTTGGTATCCAGGAGAAGAGAACAGCAAGGCACCAAGGACTCAGGTGGCTGAGGGGGTGTCGCATGTTTGGGGAGCAGCCCCTGAGACAAGCAGTGGAGGGCAAGTGGCTTATGTGGGAGGGCATCCCAAAACACGCTGTCTGGTGAGAGCAAAGGGAGGGATGCCAAGCTTTCTGACCCTGCTGAAGCGTTTTACAAGCTGTTGGACACTGTGGGCACCTGGAGTCCAGTCCTGGGAGCTCTGCGACAGCGTGGAACATGCTCTCTCAAGTGCCCCACCTGGGGGAGGGGGACTTAGGTCTTTGTCCCGGATCTCCCCACCTGGCATTGCTGGCAAGTCCTGTCGGGGACCAGGTTCCCCCCGCACGCAGCCCAGGTGTGCCCCTGGGACTGGGGAAAAGCCCTCCGCATGAACCCCAGGTATCTGCATAAGCAGCCTTGAGCAGTCAAGGTGACAGCTGAGGGGACATGGGCAGGACACCAAGAGCACCTGGTGCAGCGTAACCACAGTTGCTAATTTTTCACCTGTGATTGTGCTGTTCAATCTTACACGAGGGACCAAACTCACTGTGGCTCAGACGGTCACTGAAAAGAAAAAAAACATGGCAACTTGGCCCTTCCAGTTATAGGATAGGAAGTAGTAATTCTGCAGCATAAATCGTGCCCGTCCTTCGCAGCCACGGGATGGCATGTGGACAGCACACCCCCAGGCTGCCGTTCTTACCCGGTGCCCTGTACCCCCCCACCCTGCCCCCGGCGCTGCAGGAGCAGTACGTGTTCGTGCACGACGCCATCCTGGAAGCGTGCCTCTGCGGCAACACCGCCATCCCCGTGTGCGAGTTCCGCTCCCTCTACTACAATATCAGCAGGCTGGACCCGCAGACCAACTCCAGCCAAATCAAGGACGAATTTCAGGTAGGAGCACATCCCGGCTCAGTGACGCGGCCGCCTGCAGGGGCACGGAGCACACTCAAGGGGCTTTCTTGGTGAGATCAGGTGTGTCCACGCACTCCCAGAGTCTGCAGCAGTGGACGCTGTAGAGCAAACTCCGCAACGTAAAATGCACAACCACAGGCCACCCTGGACCCATCACTCAGTGAGGCTGCCACTTGTCTTGACTGTGACTCTGTGTCTGAACCGAGGGCATATTTAGCTCCAGGCCAGGCTGTCCGTGGGGACAAGCAGATCCACACAGGCAGGTGTGAACTTCACGCTCCTCCGTCCCCGAAGAGAAGCAGCTTTTCTCAGTCTTTCTGTATGGCTGGAGAGCATCCTAGATCCTCACTACTCAGAGTGGGACCTAGAGACCCGCAACGTCAGTGTCCCCTGGGAGCTCTAGAAATGCAGAATCTGAGCCCCCCACACACAGTTATTGAACGGGAACCCGCAACTTAACAAGATCTCTGGGTGGTTTGTCCACACGTTAAACTCTGAAAGCACCACCCTAGAGCGCAGCTCTGGTCTAGAGGCCTAAATGGGAATCACTGAGGAAGGCAAAGCCAGAGTCCAGCCCACTGCCCCAGGATCAGTGTCAAGGTCAGACCAGGCAACGGGGGCTGAGAACAGGCCAGAGGAAGCAAGGAAGCTCCAGGGCATGAGGGGCAAATACTGGACCCATGGCCAGGCCAAAACCTCAGTGTCCTTCAAACAGATAGACGTTATTGATTCGGAGTAGAGATCAAATTCTGAAGTGATGGGAGAGTGGAGGACACAGGCCCCTGGTGATGGCACGCAGTATCCCGTGGATTGCCTGGGCAGCTCAGTGTGGGCCCCGTAGTTACAAGACTTCTCTGCAGAGCACATGCTCTAAAATCCTCCAGACATGCTAGAACTGGGCCCCTGAGGGTCTCTTACCCATCCTCAGCAGCTCCTCCAAGCGTCTTTCCTCTCTCAGCCCTGTCTGAGAGGCATGCTGGTGAGACTCATTTCCTCATTCAGCCACAGCTTAACACTCATCGGAGGTGCCCTGCCTCTGCCCCCGACCTTGCGGCCTCCTGGCTAGCGCTCCCGACTAGCCCCCCCTTTAATGCAGTGCTGGCTGAGATGAGCGGCTGAGCTCGAAGGGTTGGCAGGTGTTGGGAGCCGGTGTCTGAGCCTCTGCGTGGGGGCATGTGTCCCCTGCAGCCTTGGCATCGGGGCGGTGGCACACTGCCCCTGGAAGAGGCTCTCAGCTCCCAGGGCCCGGAGAGGCCGGCAGATGATGATGGAACATCACCACAGAAGAGGAACAGTCCTGGGGAAGGCACCGGAAGGCCGAGCTTGGAGGATGGAGAAGGGGGTTTAGGCTGAGTTTGAACATCACTCACTGCCCTTCTGTTCCGGGAAAGCATCTGAGCGGTGTCTGTCTGTCCACCTTTGCACCCACAGACCCTCAACATTGTGACGCCCCATGTGCGGCCCGAGGACTGCAGCATCGGGCTCCTGCCTCGGAACCACGATAAGAACCGGAGCATGGATGTCCTGCCTCTGGACCGCTGCCTGCCCTTCCTCATCTCGGTGGACGGGGAATCCAGCAACTACATCAATGCGGCGCTGATGGACGTAAGCTGAGCCCCGCCAGGGAATGCTCCTGCCAGCTTTGCAGGGGGAAGCTTCCCCCCAAGGTGGAGGAGGCTGGACCCCAGGCCCCTGACCACCCTCCCCATGCATTCCCCCCTTGCTTTGCATCTTGCTGCCCCCAAGAACCTTTGTTCCCCCTAAAGGCCCTTGTCCAAACCTATGTATCAGCTGTGCTCTAGAAATGACCAAAACCTTAAAGTGGCTCCCACGACACCACAGCCGACCTAGTCTCCACCCCTGCTGCCAACAGAGCTGACCCTCAGCCTTGAGTTCAGTCCAGGAAACACTACGTGCCAGGCCTTGGGTGGGCCCTGGGAACACAAGGTGGGGAAGACCTAGGTTCTTCCCCACCAAGAGCTCCCAGGCAGATTCCCAGACAACTCCTGTGCAGAGACAAGAATGAGGATGGCACCTAGCAGGTGCTCAGTAAATGCTGTGGGGACAGCAAAGGGAGCATGGAGGGAATGTGATTATTCTGTTAGGGACACTGTCTCCTGCTTTGCAGCACCTGGTACCCAGCCCGACCTGGTTTGGGATTAGGGGGTTATGTCCCTGCCCCAGTGGGTTCATGCTCCTGGCTTGTATGGTTCTACCCTGGGTCCTCCAGCTACTTCTGGTTCTTGTCCCTACACTTCTGGGACGCAGAGATGTTTGCAACCAGAAAGAACCAGAATCATCTAGTGTCATCCTAGTACTTTTCAGCAAGGGAAAGTGAGGCCATAGAGGGGAGAGACTGGCTGAAGGTCGCCCAGGGAGCTAGTGGAAACACCAGAACCCAGGACCCCAGCTCACACTCTGGAGTGCATTCACTGAGTCTCCCCACGGTTTACTCAGTCCTGTAGGACTTGGGCGTCTTGCCTCCTGATGCTCAGGATGGAGAACACCGTTGCCTGATTGAGGATGAGCCCTTCTAGGTCCCCTTCCTGACCACCCCTGAGGTCATGTCCACCCAGCCCATGTGAGCTTCCCGTTCCACCCAGAACAGGCAGGAACATGAGCTACTCTCTCCAGGGGTCAAGACCAACTACTTCTCTGACCTCTGAGCCTCCTGAAACTCTCTTCCCCTCAGGGTCGAAGGTGTTGGAGGTGGGGAGATGACAAGAAGTCTATCTCAGCTCTGTAGGGACCTGCTCCGACCTCTGCCCAAGGAGTGCCCAAGCTTCCCCACCCCCCCAGAAACCCTGGTTCCTCAAGCTGGGAGTGTGGTCAGATCAAAGAGCTGTGTGTGGAGGGCAGACCTCTGGCTTTAGTTTAGACATTCCAAGGTCAAGGTGCATAGGTATGTATGTGTGCATGTGTGCACATTGGGACGTGTGTAAGTGTGTGTGTAGCCTGGCAGGGCACCCACACTTGCGAGTCCCTCCTAGCTTTGTCTTCCACTTGTCACAGCTCCCTCCCCCTGCCTCCCCCATCAAGGCGAGGATCAAACATGCCGCTGGCCTCCACTCGGCAGGTGAGATGCTGCGTGGAGTCACACGCCTTCTGTCGAGCTCTGAGGCTGACAGGATTCTCCTTGTCCGCAGGGCATTTCTCCCGTGAGCCCTCGCTGGGGCCTTTGCCTTCCTTGCAAAAAACAAATCCTTATCTGTATTCCAGCTCAGTCTGCGCATTATCTGGTAACCATGGCAGCTTGGCTCCCAGCAGAAAAATATGAAGTCCTCTGGGTTAATTTTTAATGTTTCCCTGGTAAAGGATGATGTTATCCATGAAATGGATTGCTAGCTGATCCCTGAAACCCGGCAGGAGCACGGATCTCGAACATATTTCCAGATAAGGCTTTGTCAGGCATGCTGGCCTAATAGGGCATTTATCACAGGGACAGGGAAAAGGGAAGAAAACTAACATTCTCTGAGTGTCGGCCACCGTGGCGGCCCCAGGACTTATACTGCTTTGTTCCGCATCTGGCTGTACTATTATCCCCATTTTGGGGATGACGACTGGCTACCAGGGTATTTCCATCACTATCTCAAGGTCAAGTAGCTAAGAAATGATGGCATGAAAGGTCTGATCCCCAAGTTTTTCAACCCGGAAGGTTTGGATTCTTTGCCCCAGGTAAATGTTGGCAGCTAGAGTTTGGCTTTGGGGAACATTAGTTTGCCCTCCCAGACCTTTCTCTGACCATCCCACTACCAGGGAAAGACCCTGAGAAGACAGGACGCCTGGTGCATAGGCGGCATCCGCAGCTACGAGGCATTTTTTCTTTCTGCCACAAGTGCCCTGAGAGATCACCTAACAGACAGGAGCTCTGGGCAATCCCTTTGGTGGGGTCTTTTGGCTGGGTGGGCTCCTCTCCTCTCCCCATCTGTCTGCAGACTTCTGACTCCCCCGAAAACAGCTGGGACTCCCAACAGGGACCGTCTCCCTGATGAAGAAAGCATGTTGCAAATGTGGACTATTTCTCAGGTTCCGCCCGCCACAGACCTGTGCTGGGCATTGAGTGTGCCAGCTGCCATGCCCGTGCCCAGGACGAAGAACCGAGCCAGGCTGTGCCTGCCCCGACAGGGGCTCACAGCTCGCTCCTTGCTTGCTGGTCTTTTCACACGCGAATCTCATTCAGTCATCTCCCTGGAGTTATGATGCCCATTTTCCAGATAAAGCACCTGAGGTCTGGAGAGATCTAGTAACTTGCCAGGGCTTAGCACCAACAAAAAGTCCCTTTGTGAATGGTGCTTGGATGGACGGACGAATGAATGAATGGCTGGAGGGATGATATAATGTACAGGTGGGAAAGCTGGGTTCGAAACCACGCCTGCCTGACTCTAAAACCCAGGCACCTTTCGCTGCCCTGCTGGCTCACAGGACACAGTGCCCATCGCCCGCCGGGCCCGCTCAGCCCTCATTCCAGCCTTGGGGCAGGAGTGGGCCTCCTGCAATACAGGCCCCTTCAGGGGGCTCTCTGCCTCAGGCCGAGCCGGCCCCTCCTGTGGCATTGCGGGCAAAGGGACACATGATACCCCTTCTTATCCCAGGAGGAACCTCAGCCAGCAGAGTGGCAAATCTGCATCCAGAGTCTCTCATTTCATGTTGTCATGATGATTATTTGCTGAGCTCCAAGACACAAATAATTTACTTGGATAACCCCCATCTGAGTGACAGTTTGCTAATGAAATGTCTTCATTTGGAGAAGCATGAGTTCATTACGAGAAGGTCCCCTGTGCCGCCAGGGCGCCCAGAGATAGCAGAACGGCCAGCGCTCTGTGCAGCCTGTCTGGCAGGCTCGGGGCCTCCGGCGGCCGTCCGGGCCTCACCCACATCAGAACCCCGCTGACGGATGGACATTTTACGAAGCCTGTGTCTGTCTTTCCTTTGTCAGAGCCACAAGCAGCCCGCCGCCTTCGTGGTCACGCAGCACCCGCTACCCAACACTGTGGCGGACTTCTGGAGGCTGGTGTTCGACTACAACTGCTCCTCCGTGGTGATGCTGAACGAGCTGGACACTGCCCAGGTAGGCAGGAGCCCGGCCGCTGGCCTCGGCGCTCAGGTGCATGGGGGCAGCCATGCCTACAGCTGCAGGGAGAGCCTGGAAACCCAGCAGAGCGCTGCCTCTGCCCAATCGAGCTTCTGTCTGATGGGCCCTGAGGCTGTGAGCCCCAGGCGAGCCTGTGGAGCTTCTGGCACAGGTCAGGCACCTCCCAGCAGGCTTTGCCACTGCAGGGCTCTCCATGTCCCCGCAATGACACCCCCTGGCGATGGGCTTTGTCTGGCCCTGCGCCCCAGACTCATGTCCCAAGCCAGGCAGCGCTCACAGAGAAGACCCAGCTCTGAGTGTCTCCAGCCCCACAGAATATCCCGGTGCCCAGCCACCCTAACCACAGGCTCCCTCCACGTGCAGCCTACGTGGACAGAGCCTGGGGCTTGAGCCTTGGACCCTTTGCCCACAGACTGGCAAACCGAGCCCCAGCTTTGTCACGGGTGACCCCCATGTCCAGCAGGCTTCATGCCTTAGCCTCTCTGGGTCTGACAGCTCCAGGCACCATGTGCCTACAGCACATCCTGTACTCACGACACCGGACATGTGTCGTGGGACAGTTTCTATAACCCACATCTCCACGGCAGGGCAGCCATTCCTGGGTGGAGGAGGTGAGACTGGCCCTTCGGGGTTTTGAAAAGCATTGTTGTCACTGCCTTGCGGGAAGCGCAGAGTAACACGACGCACTTCCGTGTGAGTGCGGGCCTGGTGTGGGGACACCATGAGAGTGGCTCTGAGCTCCAGTCTCGGCTCTCCAGGAGCTCGCAGTCTGGCTGCGGAGACACAGGAGCAAATTGTCCCCACCCCCAGTGGCAGCGCTGTAATAGAGGTCAGCAGCCAAGTGCTGTGCCGGCGGGGAACAGGGAGCAATTAATTCTGCCCACAGGGCGAGGGAAGGCTTCAAAAAGAAGGTGACTTTGGCCTTGAAAAAGGCAGCAGAGATTCAGTGTGTGGGGGATGAAGTAGCTGGGAAAGGACGCTCCAGGCGGAGGGAACAGCAGGGGCAGAGGCAGGGTGGGCTGGATGCGTGCAGGCTTGTCTGCGGAACAGCTCGGGGCGGGGTGGCCGGGCCCGGGGTGTGTCAGCAGGAGGGGTGGTGACGAAGTCAGCAGAGGGCTGTCCGTGCTGGGCTAACAAGCATGGTAAGTTGGGTCTTTTTTTAACGACTTTTATTTTGTGCGCAACAGAATGCTTTCTTCAAATAAAAGTTTTCATGTGAGCCCAACACATGAAGGAGGTATGACCGAGACCTGCCAGCGCTGACGTGGGGGACAGATCTAGGGCTTCACCCACCTGGTCTCTTGGCTCCTCCTGGGGCCTCTCAGAGACTCGCCTCTGCTGAGTACCTTTGTGGAACCCCAGGGGTTCCTAGGAGCACAGTTCGAAAACACTTACTACAGGGAGGAGAAATATTGAAGAGGTTGCCCAGTGGTGTGATGGAGTTCCTTTTAGAAAGCTCAGCTGGGGACCAGCAGGAAAGAAAAGCTGGAGGATAAGCCCAGAAGCCAGGAGATTGGGGCAGAGAGTGTTGCAAATGTGCAGAAAACACAGGGATGATCTGGCCAGGGGGCTGACCAGGAGGCAGGAGATCCAGGGTTGGATGGGAAAACCCTGCCAGAGTTAAAGTGCCTGGGTTTGGGGACCTGTGGGAGGTGGGGGAGGGGAATGAGAAGGCCAAGTCCGGGATGGCAGCAGGGGGTGGGTCGGGGCAGTCAGGCACCTGCGGCTGCAGCTGGCCCAGAAGGCGCAGGCGCGGGAAGAGCTGGAGAGGGAGCAGGAAAGCTGGGGAGGCCGGGAGAGGAGCAGGTTACAGAAGGCGAGACTGCATGCAGTGGGGGTGTACATGTGGGAGACAGCCGGCGCAGATTCCGCCTGTTCGTTCAGTCTTGCTTGTTCAGTGTCTGCTCTTCACCGGAGACCGTTCTAGGTGCTGGAAGGTATCAGGGAAGGAGACAGGGAAAACAAACAGAAAACTCTCATCTCCCGTGCAACTTCTATCTAAGGCGGGGAGACGATAAATAGCACATACTCTGTAGTGTCCTTAATTGCATGTTAGCAGGTGACAAGTGCATGGGACAAGAAAAACAAGGGGACAGCCTGATGAAGATGAGAAAGCTGGTCTGGGGAGTAGGATGCAACTGTACAGAGTAGTCAAGCGGGGCCTGTCTAGGCCACGTCCAGGGGCACGCAGGTTTGAAGGGGTGAGAGAACGGGTCACATGAGCATCTCAGGGAAAGGTGCCGCGGGCTGAGGGGACAGCCCACACCAAGGCCTTGCAGTGGGCATGGCCTGGCCCACTTGAGGGACAGCTTGGAGGCCACTGAGACTGGAGCGGGGTGAGTCGGGGACAGCAGCAGAAGAGGACCCAGAGATGCAGCAGAGCCAGGTCATGGAGGGCCTGGGCGGGGCCTGGGGGGCAAGGAGGGTTTTAGGAAGAACTTCAGATTTTACTTGGAGAAAAATGAGGAGCCATGGACAGGTTTTGAGGAGAGGAGTGACTTGGAAAAGTAATTCAACTCTTTAAAAAGCACCCCTCTGGCTGCCACGTTAAGAATGGACTGTTGGTGTGGGGAGAGGGAGGGTGGTTGCTAAAAGTGGAAACAGGACAGAGAGGGGACTTCTGCAGGAAGGCAGGTGACAGGAGATGGTGGCCTGAACTGAGGTGATAGCAACGGAGTGGATTCTGGATATAAAAAATAGACCTAACAACGTATCCTGATGGTTGAACATGGGAAGTAAGAGAGAAAAGGAAGACTTCAAGGGCCGGGCCCAAACAATGGGTGGGTGGAATCTGAGATAACTGTGAAATCAAGTGGCTTTCCATAAAACAAAGACCCTTGCAGAGTCAGAAGGCATCCCCGCCCTGTTCCTCTGCCTGAACAAGTAAAAGAGTGAGTGAACTCTGCCCCATGAGCCCGTAGCAAAGCAGAGCCCACGAAAGCTGGTTCGACGTTCCCTTTTCCCAGCATCCCTCTCTTTCGAAACCAGAACTCAGGCACAGAAGAGGATTTTCAAAGAGCCTTGCTTTGGGACACATAGAGAAGCAAAGGTCAAGGTCATTGGCTATAGCTTACCCTTTCAGGGGGGTCCTGAGAGAATAACCTCCATTCAGCTCCATCTTTCAGCTCCAGATGTTGGTACAGCCTTTGAGAATTGGTTCTCTACATGCGAAAGCATCAGGCTCAGACGCTCCCCGAGGCTGGCTGTCATGTGCAGCTGGCGAGCATCCCCTGAAATCGGCAGATGAACGGAGTACTTACTGATATAAATATCATCACCACAACAGCTGGGCCCCTTTCAAAAATAAACAATGGCCCAGCGAGAGCCTCAGAAGAGTCACCCTCAGCACCTGGAGGGGCGGATCTATGAAGCGGCATTTGCCTGCCAGGGTGCCCGTGCCAAGGCAGCCGCAGCCTCAGCCCGCGCAGCCACACCGCAGGCCAGCCCCAGGTCCCGGGCTCCTGAGAGTGCTCCCAAGAGGGCCAGTGCCACATCCTGGGGTCTGACTGGGGACCGTAAGGGCTCATGTCGGTGGTGTGGCTGGGCCTTCTCCTGTAAGTTGCAATAAATAAGGTTGCCCTGCTGGCCAGATCTGTCTGCCTCTGCTTAGAATCCTGCACTACTTCACCCAATCAGCCGTGCCCAGCCACAGATACTCTTCCATTCTCTGCCGTGGCTGCCATCCAAAATAATCATGAGCAGCGGAGGCTCATAAAGACTCCCAAAGCAACTGTGTGCAACCTTAGAGATTTTTCTAGCTCTGTGCCAGTCCGAAGGCCTGCAGCCAGGTTCCTGGGGCAAACTCCTAGGACCACAACACCCCACCAGTGACACTGTGGTGTCTGGTAGGTACGCCAGAGAGAACCTTGTCAGTCACCCCCAGTAGCACTGACAAGACCTTGTCCATCTTTGTGGGCTCTATGGTGAGACCAGAGTCTGGGGTGGGTAGACGACAGAAGGAAGGCCTCTTCGTGGCCATGTCATGCCCACCACATTGTTTAGAAAGCTCAGGAGACCCTCTGTGCCCCCCAAAGTCGTCCACTTCCTAGCCCCTAAACCTGTGTTCTCTTACAGTGGTAAAGGGGCTCTGCAGCTGTGACAAAGTTAAGCCTCTTGAAATGTGTAGCTTGTCCCGGGTCATCCAAGGGGCCCCATATTAGGGTATCACGGTCCCCCTGGGAGGAAGGGGGAAGGCTCGGAGTCAGCGGAAGGCCCTGTGACAACAGAAGCAAAAACTGGAGTGTTCTGCAAACACGGCCGATATTTCCTGTCTTCCCTCCGAAAATAGTGGGCCCACTATTTTGAAAGCTTTCATTTCCCAAACTGTATTCGCTAATTAATAATTAGTGTTCTTGTATGTTTTCCATAAACATAACGGCCCCAGTGAACTTCTGATCTGCTGCTTGTGTGCAGAGCTAATAAATATTGGACACTCTAATTGTGGCCCAGAGCCCGACACTCGATGTCCTCCACTCCAGGAAAACAGCAGGATCCCCTCCTAAAGGCTTTAGAGATAAGCCTTTATCTCCAGAGAAGCTCATTGGCTTCCGCTGCCAACATTATGGGCCCCACTTTGGAAACCACCGATCAGACCCAGGTCCACTCGCCCTGGTTCTGGAGGTCAGGAGGCTGAGGCCCAGGCGGCGGGAGGGATCTATCCAAGTCCCACAGCCCATCGCTGACTCAGTCCGGGGCCTCCTGTCGGGGATGGTGGGGACTTCTGCTGCCACTGAAACAGGAACTCCAGGGCCCAGTGCCCAGTAAGCACGGACTTGCAGGTACCTGGGTGTATGGAGCAGGGAGGACTGTTCCTTAGTTCACAAGCGGAGTCGCCCAGTTCTGAGGCTCCTGCCATGGAGAGTGAAGCGTTCAGGGGGTGCAAAGCCGGTGGAAAGGTGAGGAAGGGCCGGACCAAGAAAGATGCATTCCCGCGTTGTTTCTGGAAGTGAGAGAAGCGAGCTCGCCATCCTCCTAGG